CTTCCCTTCATGGCCCTCGATCTCCCGTCGGCGAGTTCGGCCAAGGGCGGGCCTTGATGACGGAGGCGAACTCCTTTGTAGTAGGCCTTGAGCTCGCGCTGACGCTCGTAGCTGGCCTGGGTCTTGTCATCGTCGAATTGCTTGGTGCGACCGCGACGGCCCGCCGATGGTCTTTTTGGGAGCGGCGGCGGCGTTGGCTGCGGCGATGGCCGCGGCCGTGGCCTTCTTGGTGGCGGCAGCGGACTTTCTGCCACGACCACGACCCTTGCCCTTCTGAGGCGTGGGTTTGGGGGTCGGCGTTGGCGTGGCGGACGCCGACCCTGCCGGCTGTTCTGTATCAGACATAACAGCGATGACGCTTCATGAATGAATTGAGAAGCGGGCAAAGGGGGGGGGTGGGTGGCTTGAGGATAGGGTGGGCTGAGGGTGAGGAAGGGCGCCTAGGTGGAATGATAGGTCTGGGGAACGGCAGAAAAGATGCTCGGGTGAGTGTGGATGTGTGTGAGAGAGAGAGAGCGAGAGAGAGCATGAGCCTTCGCCGGCAGAACCTCCGAATAAGAGGAGAGGGGCGATGTAGGGATACTGGGAACCAGTGAAAGGGAATGAGGAGATGCTGGAGATGAATGTGAGAGAGGCGAGAGTGAGCCTGGAGGTTGGCCACAGAGGTTGTGCGTGGTCAACGTCGCTCCTTCCGCAGATGATGGTGAGAAGGGGGCGCAGAAAGGTGGCAGGCGGGCGGATGGCGATGTTTTCCTGGCGACGAATCGGGGGATGGGCCAAATGAAAATGGCATCAGCAAAAAGAGCAGCTCTCGCTGAGCAGAGGACAATGGGTTTGCGAATGCACTGGGTGCGGTGAATGGCCCTGGATAGCGACGGCAGGGAACTCGTCGTCTCGAGGTCGATGGTGGCCCTTTTTCTCCCGGCTGCAACAATAATACGTCCACGTCCAGATCTGGCTCTGGCCGCTCGCTGCTGGCTGGTGCCTCGCGCTGGGCCTTGCTTGGCCTTGGCCCGTCTGGGGCATGACCTGAACCGTCCAAGGTACCTGAGGTAGGTACCTGAGGTGGGTAGGTACCTTGCCATACCCAGGTACCTAGGTAGGTACAGGCTACAGGCGACAGGCCACAAGGCCCCCATCTGCGCCGTGTGGACCAGTCGTCAGTGGACCACCCACCCCCGAGAGCACGCGCTCTCTTGCCAGCCGCAGCCGCAGACGGCAGCCAATCCGGACGACGCTGGGCCGCTCACACGCCACCTGATTGGACCGGCGTCTGTGAAAATCCGGGAGCCGCAAAAATCTGACCCCTGTTCTCAGGGGATGTATCGTGTACTTGGCACTGGGCCAACCTGGGAAGGCCACCAATCCACCTTCTCTCTGACTTCCGAGGTGAAAGCATTTTGCAGAGTACGGAATTGCGGATGCGAAGTGCTGGTTGCCAGCCGGCAGGCAGACGTGGTATATGGGTTACATGGTCAAGAATCGCGTCGATGGAATTCCCACAGATGCCAGGTATCCCACCTCGAGCTCTTCGATCGACAAGTCAACTGTCAGTGTAAGAGCAAAACGATGAAAGAAACACGTGACAGTCGACATTGTGTCCTCGCGACGACGTGTCCATGCTTCTTCTACTAGCCGGTATCTTACCATTCTTTGACAACTAGATTCGTTCTCTCGTCGGCTCGGCCGCTCCCTTGATCTGAAACCCTGTCGATCGCTGGCCACCTCTGGCAGAGCAAGCACCAAGTTTGTGCTGCGGCTGTGATGGCAATATCGGAAGCAAACGATGTCGATTGCGAACGGTATGCTTCAGTCCAGGACATGATGGACAATGTTTCTGTCTGATGCAAAGAAATCTTTCGCTCATCTCCGAGTTCCTCTTTTCAGAGAACAGCTGGCTCCCAGCAAAGTTGGCCATCTCCGCGCACCAGTTCATCAGGTCCCGAGTACCTGCAGCGCCCCACAACAGGCTGTCTCCCCAATCAGCATCATCCCAAGCCAGCGGCATGGCGGGACATTCCCGACCCGCCCGGCGCTACCACCGCCGATAGAAAAAACGTCAAGCATAATCGCCGTGGGGCAGAGCCCGGCACCTGTGTCCTCCCTCCTTCTCCCCCCTCTCCTGAAGTAACCTTACCTCCGGCTGCCCGTGACGACATTGTCTCCGGCTGTAACACAAACGGATCGTCACCATGGCCAAACGACGCGTCGGCTCGAACTTTCCCGACGCTCCCAGCCGCTCCAAGAAACTCAAGCACAGCGCCCCTCCCCCGCCAAAACACCCAAAGAACAAGGCCGCCTCGAAGCAGAAGCAGCAGCAGCAGCACCAGAACCAGAAGCCCGTCCTGCCCTTTGGTCCCCATGACGCCATCCTCCTCGTCGGCGAGGGCGACCTCGGTTTCGCCGCGAGCCTCGCCGCGCACCACGGCTGCACCAACCTGACGGCCACGGTGCTCGAGAAGAACGAGGCCGAGCTGCTGGCGAAATACCCCCACGCCAGCGAGCACATTGCCAAGATTCTTGCGCCCAACACGGCCCAGTCTCCCTCCGACAACAACGACAACGACAACAACGACGACGGCGCCGAAGACGAAGACGAAGACGAAGAAGACTACGACAGCGACGGCAACCCCGTCCCCGCGGCCCCCAAACCGGCGCCGACGACGAACCGCATCCTCTACAACACCGACGCCACGACCCTGCGCCCCTTCACCACAAAGGTCGACCACGGCCCGCGCACCCTCCTCGCCGGCAAGGTCGGCGCCTTCGCCCACATCGTCTTCAACTTCCCCCACGTCGGCGGCCGCTCGACCGACCAGAACCGCCAGGTCCGCCACAACCAGTCCCTGCTCGTCGCCTTCTTCGAGCGCGCCCTGCCGAGCCTCGCCCCCGGCGGCCGCGTCACCGTCACGCTGTTCGAGGGCGAGCCCTACACGCTGTGGAACGTCAAGGACCTGGCGCGCCACGCCGGGCTCGACGTCGACACGAGCTTCCGCTTTCCCTGGGCCGGCTACCCCGGCTACCGGCACGCGAGGACCCTGGGCGTCGTCAAGGCCAAGGGCGGCGCGCGGAAAGGCGAGCACGGAGACGAGGGCGGCGCCCAGCAGCAGGAGCAGGAGCAGGAGGAGGAGGAGGAAGGACACGAGGAAGAGGAGGACGGCAGGGAGGGCCGAGGGCCGCAGCAGGCGCGTCGCAAGGGCGAGAGCAAGACGGCGTGGAAGGGCGAGGAGAGGGCCGCGAGGAGTTTCGTCTTCAAGAGGAAGGAGGAGGCTGCTGGCAATGCTGCGGCAAGAACAAGAATAGGCAGAAAGCAGAAGCCCGAGGCTGAAGCTGGCGGGAAGAAGAAGAGGCACAAGATTTGATGTCTCCGATTCGGATTCCGACTCTGACGAAATAAAAAGCGACTCGAAACTGCAGCGGGGACAGACGCTGGCACACGAGTTGCTGCGAATAGGGAGTTCTTTGGGATCATTTACGGGCGCCGGTAGAGAAGACTACAAAAAAAAAAAGACGGTGGGATCGGGTTTTCATGGAGTGCATTGATACCCAGACATAAAAGGTTCAGAACAGTTGTATACATATGTACATGCATATCTATATTCAGTCCGACGCGCGAGCGCAGCGCCAATTGACTTTCAATCATCACACACATCACTCTCCAGAGACTCATCTCCATCCAACACGTCAGGTACGGAGCACGTCTCATTCAAGAACCACCCTTGTTCCCTCCATCCCCCAAAGCGTCGAGCTGTCCCGCTCGAAGTGATGCCCCGGATACTCATACACGAGCAACAATATGCGTATGCGCGCGAGCATGTCTCAAAGCCAAAAACCAGCTACCCTTTTCGATCAACGCGTGTTTCCCTTTTGCTCGATGCCTCTCGTGGGGTTCGATCGGTAGTGCAAGCCTTTCTTGCCGCCTCATACGCCGGCTACGGTCGGGCACGATCGCCGCATACGGTCGAGCGGCCATAGTCCCATGCATATCATCTCAACCCCAAACGCCGATGCAGCCATATTACTCGTCCGTCGGTGCAAAAAGAGAGGAAAGAAGAAGGTTCAAGCACGGACTTTTTCGCGAATAATTTACAGATCCCTACTCCATGACAAAGGCCGTCCGTCAACCTCGTGCTTCTTTGCGTTCTCGAAGAACACTGCAGCTCATTATATTTGTCCCTCTTCTTTCGATGCTCTTTCGTGATTTCTTCTCTTCTCAAGCACCGCCCTGAGGCGGTCCGTCGTTGGGCGCGGCATCGCCCGATAGAATGACGCCGCCATTGGGCACGTGTCCGTTGAGCACCAGGCGCTGCTCCTCGAGACGAGCGGCACCATTGGCCGAGCTATTCCTTTCAGCCGCCTCGAGGCGCTCGGCCTCCTCGTTCTCTCGCATCAGAGCTTCTTCTTGCTCACGCAGCGCCAGTTGCTCGGCCGTCAGGGGCTGCTGCTCTACGGCTTCAGCACCAGCGCCAATCTCCATCTCCTCGGCCTCTGGAGGAGGCGGCGGCGGAGGTGGCGGCGCCTGATCATCTAGGTCGTCGTCTTTGACACGTTTCGCAGAAGGCGAGCCGGCTGGTGTCAAGTCAGGAGAGCCAGTATCGAGCTGCTCTCGCTTCCGTTTTCGCTCGAGACTGCTGGCCGACGCGGTCTCAACATCGTCAACGTCGGAAAGAACCACATCATCATCAGCGTCGACCATGGGAATGTCAGCGCTCGTGGTTGGCGCCGACGATTCCCCTACTCCAGTACCATCCGATGTCGGCAACACAGAGGCAGGTAATGTCTGTCCGGTCTGCTCGGACTTCTTGCTCTGGCGCTCCTTGAATTTGATGAGAGCGCGGTCAAGAAAGTCCTTGACGTACTGCTTGATCGTCTTGACCTTCTTGTGATTGATGGCGACCGTGGGGTCCTCGACGCGATTCTTACGGTAATCCGAGGAAACAAGCGTCTTGTTGACTTCTTTGCCGAGCCTCTTCAATTCCTCCTTGGGCAGCTTGTGGCGGTACTTGTCAAGGACATACTTGACGTGCGGGAAAAGCTGGATATCATCAGAATCAAGGTCAAGCACGACTCGAGGCGCAGCCACTTACAGTGTTCTCGTAGATTTTCATTTGCTTCTCAATTGGCAGAGAACGCCACTTCTCCTTCTTCGGGTCCTGGACAGGCGTGTCCACCTGCTGCGGAGTGCGCGATGCCGACGACTTGGGTGTTTCCTTTGTGACCTGCTGGATGATGCTCTGCAGGAGCTGTTGTTCCTGCTTGGCCTTTGAAATGGCCTTGGGTGCGTCCGGCGCGGGCTTGCTGGGACGCTGCCACGTGGTATCACCGTTCTTCGTATAAAAGTAGACGTTCCCACGCTTGTCCGTGTTCTCGAACCAGCCCTCGGGAAGGGCGCCTTGCTGCTGCTGCTGGAAGTACGCAGGATGTCTCCGCGGCGGCCGGTTGCCCTGGAAGAAGTTCTGGTTCCTCTGGGGGATCGTGCTGCGCGGACCCTTGGGGACGTCGGCACCCAGTACAACCGGCGGCTCCGGCTTGGACCGGTCCTCTTCGCGGTCAATGTTACGGCGCTCCTCGAAGGAGTTGATGGCGGCCGGTGCCTTGGGGTCCACCTTGCGCCGCCTGATGCGGTACGCAACCTCGAGCTTGCTCCATTCTTCCAGAAGTCGCTTGGACTCGGCTGCCACGACAGGATCCTCCGAGTGGGCCAGAGTCTCAATCGTCGCTTCGATCTTGGAATCCTGAATCTTGTTGCGCGTGAGACGCGGAAATTTGTCGAGAATATCCAGCACCTGAGCAACAACATTCTTGTCGTCGATGAAGGTAGTGAGCGTCGTCCGCAGAATCTGGTACGCGTGCATGCGCATGACGCAGTTGAGCACCTGCTTGTCGTCGCAGCGCTGAATACGTTCCAGCAGCTTGACGGCAATCCACTTTTCCTTGCACTGCATGAGCGAGGCCATAACCTTCCTTGCACCCTCCTCGTCCAGGCCACGAGCTTGCACGCTGTTAACGTAGTCCTCGTCATCTTCCTCGGGCTTCTTCTTGCGCTGCTTCTTGGCCACAGCCGTATCCCAGCTATCGCCATCGTCGATGCCGAGGGCCTCCACCGTCGCCAGGGGTAGCTTCGTAGCTCGCTCCGTCTGGGTCTTGCCGCCGATATACCCAGTGCAGTTCGGTTCGCCGCAGTAGCACGGTTGAGGATCAGCGCCGTATCGGTCGACGTTGTAGTTGAAGACGAGCTCCTCGCCAGCAGCAATCCCCCGCAGGGTGAAGATGCCCATACGCAGCTTGTCGCCGACAACCCACTTGTCGACATAGCAGTTGGGATTGCAGGAGTGGTTGCAGAACCGGCCCAGGTTGCCCTTCTTAGTGGCATCCACGAACTCGTGCTTCGTTAGGGACATGAAGTAGAAATGCTTGATGCCTTCGTCATCGTACTGCACCATGCGGCGTCGAAAGGTGGGTTCATTGATGACCTCGCCGATGTACTCAAAGATGAAGTCATTCGCTTGCATATCGACATTGGCGCGAAGGCCGAAGCCCTTCTTCTCCGTCTTGATCACGGAGACATCCGCATAAGCCTTGCGCTGAAATCGCTGGTTCTGGCACCCGTCGCCGCAGTTCCCTGTGCCCATGACACACTCCATCTTTGTGGCACGGTTGATGCAGTCGGAATCCTCGTCGCACGAGTGGTTCTCGCCATTTTCTGTTGTTGCACCAGACAGTTAGCTACATGCACGAAGGCGAAAAGCACAAGGATGTCCGACTTACGCCATTCTTCACGGCAGTCGCAGTCCAGGGCGTCATTGTCCGTGGATCCCATGTGCTTTGAGCCGTAGAGACAATCAGGAATTCGTTGGAACGTGGCACAAGCATCGTCGGTCATGTCTGGGTAATTCTCAAAGGTCGGAGCCTCCTGCTTGGCCGCTTTCTGGGACGCCTTGCGCAAAGACTTGGAGCCCTGCGTGGCCTCAGGCGTGGACACGCCTTCTGTCCCATTTTTTGTCTCGACGGGGGTTCTGCTAGATGACCGGCGGCGACTAGAGTTGCGCGACGCAAGCTTGTGACCGTGGGGGGAGGATCCTTCTTCTTTCTTGACATTCAACCCATTGACAGTTCCATCTTCTGTCTTGGGTTCCTCCATCTTTGTCGTCGCTAGCCCATCCTCCATCGAGCTGGCGAAGGAGCAGTTGTTGGGGTTCGCCGGTTCGATTGCAGCACCAAGGACGACAGGCTGTAATGCGTCGGCTTGGGGCGAAGGCACCGGGACGCGGTCGACCGATTCAACTCGGACGAGTACGTACGTGCTTCTGCTTTCGGCTTTTGCGTCGAGATGCCAGGACGGATGAGACAGTGCAGCTGCTCACAATGCGGCTTGCCCTGCTGCCGGTCGGAGTCTCGCCTGTACTGCTGGAGAGACAGGGAATTGACGGTTGGCAGTTTCGGTACGGGAGAGAGACGTCCAATACTACAAGCAATGCACCGCTTGGCCTTCCAACGAAGGCTCTAAAAAGGCCTTGGAGGAAAAGCCTGGGGATCCAGGAGACGGGGGTGCAAGCGTGTAGTCTTGTTGGGCGGCAGGCTCGCTTGAACGGAAGGCTCCTTGGTGTGCTCGCGGGTCGCGAGTGGGTGATTGTCACGTCCGTGGTGATCTGCTCCGGCTGGGACTGGTCGATCGAAGTGTGCACGAACGAGTCTCCGCTGAAGGGGGCTTCAGCTTCGAGAGAAAGGCAGAGACGGTGATGAGGTCAATGGATCGGTCCAGAGATTCGTGGCATTGTCAGCATCCGGCGTGTCCCGAGACCCTACCTCCAGCAACAGACTTTGCAGTGGTGGCAGAGAAAGAGAGGGAGAGGGAGAGAGAGACGGGGTGGCAGAGTTGGGGACGAAGACAGAAGCAGAGGCAGCGGCAGCGGCGATAGCGACGCGCCACAGAATTTATGGGTCCCAGGTCGCGATTCAAAGGATGCTCATGCGCCAATGTGAGCAGCAAGAGTATGTAGCTTGTCGCGTTGCTTCGGGATTTGGTGTTTATGGCCAAGGCAAGACAAAGACGGATGAGTCGGATGCAAGGCGTACAGGCCTCATGAAGAACTTCACAAAGCCTGCAGAAAGTAGACGCGGGCGCAGGAAGTTGAATGCGTTCTGTCGAAACGAGAAATCTCACGTCGGATCCGAGGGCGAGAGGAGTACCCTTGAGCACTGCAACAGCCGACAACCACAAGCTCCAGCAACCTAATATCGCGCACGGGCCATGTTCACACAAAGACGTCCTCATTACCAATGCAGAATTCGAGCAGACTATGTGGCTTGCCTACCTTTGATACCTTACTAGGATCATTACCCAAGTCAGGTACCTAAGGTAGGCAAGATGAGGCAAGATCCAGGAGGGCATCGGCACCTTAGAGAATGCAGACTGCCCCCAGTCTATTCGCAAATGACAAACCTCCACAAGCGACAGCAAAGACTCTTCATCTCCAATCCCCGGACGGTCAGCCACGGCAGTTTCCTCGTTGGCGGTCTTGACACAGGTGGACAACAGCGTTCGCAGCAAGCGTTGAGTGGAAAGCATGCCTCTCAAGATAATATCCCACACGTATGAGGCCGCGCAGACGTGGACAATGACGCTTGTCACGCTCAGCTGTGGCGGTGGTGAACAAGCGCCTCACCGAGCCTGGGCCGGGGTTATCCTAGGTGTAGCACTTACACCGAAGTGCCACCCATAGAGAGCGTGCCCCATGCCAACCCTCGTAATCGTTTAGACGTTGCGAAGAATTATCAGCACATTGACTGTCAGTGATTCGCTGTCTGCGTCGTTCTCTAATCATCCATCACCGTTGTGGGAGCAGTCCCTTGCTGCCGCTCAAACACGAGGGCGGTTCGTCCCAAGTATTGTCTTTCGTGGCCCCCCAGCAGTCTCGGGGCTACTGATGCAAAGATAGTGCGTGCGGCAGCATGGAGAAGCATGGAGATTGACTGCAGGAGCTGCAGTCGGTTACTGTCAGGTTGGGCAATTGGACATCTCCCGGCCGTGCCTGAATTCAGCTCACCGACTTTTTGGGTCCACGTTGCAGAGTCGCCCTGTCCAAGGAAGCACCGCAGGCACCCCCGTTGATTCCCAAGACGCATCCTGGACCGGCGATGGTTCCGAATCTTCGACGCCAGGGAGTCGAACAGAGTGAGGCGATGCCAGCGCACCAGGAGCGTAGCTTAGCATCGTCATGGGCGAGCCGTCCGGCCGTTGCCCCCTGCCGGAGCCATTGATAGCGGCTGGTTGTACGGGTGTGGGTCCCCGATGAGAACCTGCCAGCTCACTGTGCATGCGATCGATCCCACAAAGCTGGGAGAGGTGGCCCGTCGAGAGTTGGGTGTCGATGGGGTATAAAGGCGGCCGAGGGACGCCAGAGAAGGTGTGCAGTCCATTGCATCTAGGTATCTCGTCCGGGCGTTGGCAATCCGACATCCCGGGGCCGTGCATTTCATCCACGTCTCGTGGCCTTCCCTGAGCCTCTTTGCGCCGCGGCATCTCCGACGGCCATCTTCCGACCCTTTTCTCCGCCGATCGAGAAACCCCGAGTCCAGCGATTGTGGGCGGGAGCGGCTGTCGTCATATGTGACGAACCCGTGTCCCGTGCTGCGAAAACCCAGTCCCGAGTACTGATTGGCGAGAGAAGAATCCAGTGATCTTTTATGCCAGGCCATTGGAGGAGGACATCGAACCCCCCTTCTGCCAGCGAAGCAGCGGGTCGGCCAATAAGGTCAAGCAAGGGGCTTGCGACTAATCGAAGTTACACGGACCCTTGGAATGCTGTCGGTTGCTTATTCTATCGTCGACTGCTCCGCCCAAGGGTCCTTTCCATGAAGACTGCGGCGATTGTGTCGAGAAGGCAAATCAGGTTGGGTGGAAGGAGGGTGACAAATTTCTGCGGCCTGATGATGCACGAGGAGCCACGAAGCAGGTGAGGCGATGGGGGCCGCATGGCGCCAGTGTCTGTACGGGCAATGACAGACCAGTCTGGTCTTGAGAATCTGGTTCAGCGGTCAGGCGGCAGACTCGCCGCTCCGGATTGGCCATCGACATGTCCCCTTTGTCGACCGACATGCGGGACGCTGCAGCTACAGCAGCTGCACCAAAGACCAGCACCGCCAGCCGGCGCCCTCACACGATTTCCAAAGGGCCATGATTCGGCTGGGCGTACCCGGCACCTGCGGGAGGTCAGTCCAGGTGTCCGACAGCAGCCAATCCCCCGACGAGGTGAGGCTTTCCTGCAAACAGCGGGAGACTGGGGTGGTGGGAGTGGGGGGGAGGAGCATGCCTGGCTAGAAGGCTTGCATGCACGGCAAGGAGCGAGCCATGGCATCTGGCGGTTTCTTTCGATGCGACGGTCATCTGGACGCAGAAGACGGGCCCGCTCATCTGGCATTTCTGGTCTTTTAGGTGCTGAGGCGGCATGTGCGCGCATTGACGAGCCCCGCGGGGACTCCATTGCGATTGTCATTGGCGTCATTGCCTGGCATGTCGCAGCTCAACATGCTGTTCGAGGCATGACAGCTGCGGGAACCATGCACGCGCTGGTTCAGAAAATCTACGCAATGGGCAGAGTGATGTGAAGGTTGACAGGAGGAGGAGGGAGAGCAAAAAGTCAAGAAGTGAGGGAGGGAGGGCGACAAGCGCCACTACGAAGATGAACGACAGGAAGGGACCTACCCAGGTCTCTTGCCTTGCCTTGGGCTTTGAGGACGTATTCCTGGCGGTGGGCAAACTGCACCAGCACCAGTACCAGCAACGCCAGCACGTTGACCTCATTCTGTCTTGCATCCATGCACCAGATCTGCCCATGCATAGCACCACCATCAGCAGCACCACCACTACATTGATTCGCCTCGACACCAACAGCTCCAGGGCGGCTTCTGCTTTCGTCTGTCTGGAGGCCTGTGAAGCCTTGTCGATACAAGGTCGCACCACGATAACCCAGGACTGCTACTAAAGTCGTCCCCTAGCCAAGGCATCCTGGCCTTGAAGAGCTGGTGCTGGAGCAGGACCATTAGACGACGGCACAACTCAGAGCACAAACACAGACACACAGACGCTATCAGCACAATCATACCCAGCACAACAACCCGGCTAGGGACCTGTCAGATCGCCCACGTCCCACCCAGCATTCAGAGCGCTGCCCCGGCTTCCTGGGTATCCATGGCCCTCGTTGCGCAGTACTGCTCTTCCCTCTGTCCTGCCGATGCTGCAGCGAGCCGCGCCCTCGAGATATAATCGCTTTCTCGCGAGCGCCCGCCCGGCCTAATCTTCATTGCACCGCGCTTCGATTCGTTCAACCTGGGCCAGATCCGCCCAACTTTTTCGCGTCCTTCTTTTCACTCACACGTTTGTTCGCCTCGCGCCTCGACGAATCCAGCAAGCCCACACCAACCCCGCCAACAACCGCCGAACGCTCCCCCCCCCCTTCCTCAAGTCGCGTGTTGTGCGGGCCGTCCGCTGGGCCAGGATAAGTGCCGCGAGACGAAACCATATCTGAGCCTCCTGAGATCAAACGAACAACTATTCCCTTGATTCGTGCCACCACGATCAGCCTTTACTTCGCCAGGGGCGACCACACTTCTCAAGACGCGCGCTTGCGCCTCAATACAAACGCGCAGACCGAGATACACGGATGCGACAACGACGACGACGACCTTCAACTTGTCTTTACGATCTGGTGGCTTAACTCATTGACAGCCTGACCTTCACGAACGACTCTATTGTATCCTTTCGCACTCGACAGAGCTCTGTGGCCTAGGATCAAGCCGCAGTTGCCCCCATTCCCTTCGACCAACACGACATCTTGTCGATTCCGACCAACTGCCCACCAGCCGAGCAACTTCCTTTAAGAATACTCCGATTTCCGTGGTTGCGCTCTGTTCCGTTCCGGCAGTCGACGACGTCCGACATCAAGCAATCTTCGCCAGTCGGCTACAACAAGAACAACAAGAACAACGACGACGACGACGACGACGACGACAAGACGGATCAACGACCTCCCCTACGGCCCATGCCCATCCCGACACCAGGCACGGGGACTTGCAGGCCTGATCGCACTATAGCGTGTTTGAATAACACAACAGACCCGACAATATGGATGCCCAGTTCACGGACGACGAGAAGGTACATATTTGTTCCACTGAGATAGATCCTGCCGTTCCATCGACAGCAGACTGACTTAGGCGGCGCTATAGCGGTTCATTCTTTCCGAGATGATCAAGCAGAGCAGGCTTGACGTCGATATCCTCGTCAATCTCGTCAAGGGATTCAAGGAATTTGAACCAGACTGGCTAAAGATGCCCCTGCCCCATGGTACGTATAAATGTCCGTCCCCGTGTTCGCCGAGTCGGCTGTTGACTCGTAGCGTTAGGTCGCACTGTGAACCAGTGCCTAGCGGCTGCCGACGCCATGTTCCAGACTACAGTAGAGCGACCAAACCTGAAGCGAAAGTCCATGGGCGAGCTGCAGGAGGTGCCTTCCAAGCGGCGCGTCCTGCCTCCCTCTCCTGGGCACTCAACACAACCATCGACCTTGACACCAGCCGCGCAGCTGCCGGCCCCATCGCTATTGAATCAGTCGTCCTTGTCAGGCAGCGCCCAACATGTCAATATTCGACCGCGCCCCCCAAGAACAGGACCACCCGCCCTTGGTGAAACGCAACTGGTGCCCGCGGCGAAGCGGAGAGGCAGGCCCTCTCGCGCGGACAAGGCTAAGTCATTGCGTCCTGTACTGCCTCAGTTGGCGCCGCGCACCGAGCCGCCTCCTCAGGCACCACATGTCCCAGGGAATTCTACAAGCTCCATGTCCGGCGTGGCAGGATACCCCCACGGTCATGTTCAGAGTCCTGCAGCCTCGCGGAAATCCTTCAGCGCCTCTCCAGGGCCGCAAACCTCCCCGAAACTTGGGCGGAAGAGAGGCCGGCCCTCGAACGCTGACAAGGTCAACAAGGCGGCAAGTCCCCCCACTAGCGCGCCAGTCCCTGACGCGCTGGATTCTCGACCATCTCTAATTTTCATTGCAGACAGGTGAGGTGGAGGGGGCTCTGGAGTCGTATAACCGAACGCCAAGGTTAGCGCCGCGGGAGACAGGCGTCACATCATCACATGGAACACAACAGGCTTCACGGCGACAGCCCGATTCGCCCCCCATTTCGGGGCCTTCGCCTTCGCGGGAGAGGGTTTTGGCTCCTATGCAGCCACTTCAGCAGGAGGGGCTTGCACGATAGCCCTTGGTGGCAGCTTCATTGGAGACACATTTTGGGCTGATGGTCCCCCATTGAAGAGTCGCGGGCTGGCTCCCTCGCTATACCAAATCCATCTCGGGCAGGCTCTCGTCCCTGAACATGGTTTCTGGTCAGCACACAGACGTGGAGGGCCAGGCTACTCATGCTTTTACGGGACTCTGTTTGTGCTCCTGCGCCGGAAATCTGGTACCATCGGACCATTCTGCCCACCACCGAGACCTAAAAGTCTGACGCTCTCAGCCTACACTGCCTTTGTCACGCGTCCACGTTGCCCCCAGGGATTGGCTGCTACTTTGGAAATCAATACCCCCGAATCTCACAGGGCACAGGCTTATCGGCATAATTCGTGGGAACCGCGAGGTCAGGGGTGCTGGGTTTTCAGCAACCGACTATTTACATTGACGTTGCAGTATAGAGAAGGCTTACTTGGGTTTTCTGTTGAGAAAAGAATTTGCACCTCGGAAAGGGTCATGAACCTTTCTGGACGCCAACCCTTGCGTCAGCTCTGGTATCCCTTCAGGGTAGTCAAGCTTTGTTTCTGTCTTGGAGAGGTGGGAAGGTGGCATCTGTGCCAAGCCCAGACTCTCTCCTCCATATACCTCGTATGCATATCATACACTTAGAATCACCACAGGGGGCAAGCAGCCTTATCACACCAACTAATCCCATTCGACTAAGGAACGCCTTAGTCACTGTTCAGCTGCAGTTGAATTGAAGCTTTCTGCTGGATACCGAGCGACAACAGGCCTTCCTTTGGTAGATCGACTGAGTTAGACTACTGACTTATTACTAGCTGGCTACGTAGGCAACACTCTGAACTACCTTATATTAAGCAGCCACCACACAACATGTCACTTACCACCTTCGCCTCATTTTTCTTTCCCTCGGACTCGAGTGACGGAATACAATATCGGATTTCATGTTGCCATCGATGCCAGGCTTATCCATTCCCCTAAAGTGTCATAATACGACAGTCCTCCGCGTCAACGTACGAATCATTCATTTCTGACCCGGCTGGTTTGAAGTGTGGCCTGGACTGAATTGCTCCTTGCTCCTGGCACCCTCTCCGAACAGGACCAGCGCTATAAGATGCCCGCGAAAACCGATGACTAGATCGTCAAAGTACACCACCTCCACTTCAAGTACAAACTAGCCATAGCAAAGCCGTTTCTAGACAACAGTTCATCCAGAACGATATTCTCGCTACCTGGACCGGACCTTCTGAGGAGATCACCGAAGAATAAATAAATAGCTATATGAATATTAACGTACTGATGGCAAGGACGATTGCTATTCGGCCAACCTTTATGAGCAAGATGATTTTTGATTCGCGTGTTATCAAACTTTTAGACGCCAACACTCGCTTTTGTTCTCATACCCGTGTTGTAGTCGAACTTTTGCTCTATCTTCGATGAGGTTAAGTAAATTAATGATTGGGTTGCCACTATGCATGTATACCTTGGCTCGTACTCCCAGTCCTAGATGGCAATCCCAAGGGCGTCGACCTCCTTGCAGGGCATAATGTATGCCGGCTATCAGACTGCAATGGCCTCCTCCATAGCGCTGGCGGATAAGGGCTTGACCTGTAAGGGTTAGTCGGCGAAGAGACGCAGAAGAATCGGCATAAACTCACAGAGCAGCGCAGCGAAAGAGCCATGAGGGCACGGGTCGACGAAGTCTCAGCAAGAATCACTGCTATAGTGAGCAAAGAAGAGCCCAAAGCCGTTAGCACAACTTACAGCGTCGGGTTGTTGACCGCGGTTCAAGGGGTCGGCGCCTCAATAGGCTACCTTCTTATAGCATTTAATCAGCTCGGCGAGCTGAGCAAGATACCGGGTTCACTTCTTAGGGGTGCAGTTGTTCAGATTGACGAGACCTTGGTCGGTCAACTACAGGGCGACGCGGCGCTAAATGTATTGGGCGAGTCCACGAAGAGGCTTGGAAACCTTCACATGTTAGCAGACGTTAAGGGAATGTTCGGCGAACTTACGAAGAGGCATGCGCCCTTGTCATACTCCAACAGGTATGGAAAGGATGACCAAGCTAAGTCCTCGGAGGCAATTGCCTTACATGCAGGCAAGGTGAGTAGATCATCGACACACTTTGGGGTCTGTTGAGACACACTCTCTATTCTATTTCTGTGAGTATCGAGCTTCCCTTCCACCTTGGGTCATCCCCATCAATTGCCACAACGCCTCAGCTAGGTTCTCTACCTTGTCCACCTACCTACCTTACCTCAGGTACCGACCGACCTGAGCATCGAGTATCGTAGGCACATTAGTGTCTTGCCTTCCCAACCTTGCAATTACCACCACCTATATCACCATCAACCATCCCACCCACCAACTATCTAATATGGGCGCCCCTAGGACAAATCCCGTCACGCCGACGCAGATGGAAGAGTTCAAGGCTGCGTTGATGGGGGTTTTCGACGACTCTCGTACCACGCAGGTAGCTGCTGAGCCAGTGAAGCCCATTCTTCAATGTTCGCGAGAGATCAAGGATCCCACGCATGTCTCGGTAGTCGGTATGCCTCGGCTGTAGGAGGAGCCATCGCAAATGGTAGACATACTTCCTCGACGCTTAGAAGTTCCTTGCTCCGTGAGAAGCGATATTGACGCCATGGCCCTCGAGCCGCCTATTTCTACTGGAGAGTTTGCCGACCATCATCTGGATGAATATCGCAACTTCTCCTTCACCCTCATGCAGTTTTCTGTGTTTCTCTGCATGGACCTGCAACAGCTAGGAAGGCTATACTAGGATTCCGTAAGATCGTTCTGGTTTGATCAGCTGCGCCCTATCGAGGCACTTTTTGGGACCTGTTCGTAAATACATCATTGTCCGGGTTTCTTCCTCCTGATCCCCCCAACCCCCGTCTGCCCCGCCTCCCCGCCTCCGCCGTCTCGTCCTTTCCTCTTCTCTTTAATTTAGTCCATCTTGTATCTTGTATGATCTTTCAGTAACCATTCAATCTTGTTCTACTTTGAAACTAGGAAAACTTTACACTCTAGCCTTAGTTAAAAAGCCTTGACTCATTATATATGATAACCCTCCAGACTTCGCCTGATGCAAAATTGAAGAAATCATCCTTCAAGTCCGATTCCCAAAAGGCTTGCCATCTCAAGGCTGCGGGTGACAGATCTGTCAGACGAAGCACTACAGAGCGAGAGATAGTATGTTATGCCCGGCTGGTGATGTTACTCCAAAGCAAAACTGGACGACCGGGCCTATTATGAAAATAGAGAATACTAAAGCCGACGAGGTCTATAGCATCAACCTCAATGCAACTACGTGCTGTGTCATATCGGTGTGTCATTTGCATTTCAGAAACTTAGTATGTGCACGCAAAGAGGATACTGTAAAAACATTGATGATTAGGTCGTCACTACGTATGTACAAAGAAAGTAAGATGCCTACCCACATAGGTAGGTACCACAAGGGGAAGCAACGTTCTTTGAGTAAGCGGATCTTGCAGCAGGGCCACTGAATGAACGACAGTTCCCCCCCCTCTTTTTCTTACCTTGAGGTGCCTTCCTATTTTGATGAAGCCCGCCCTTTCCTACTTAGGCGCTCAACTCCCAACAAGTCTCTACCTTCTTCAACCATCCATCCTTCTATTCCCACAACACACACTCGCAGATATCACCAACCCAGAAATTTGTCAAGATGGTTACCTGGGAACTTTCTCTCACGGAGAAGAACCGCGAAGACTACCTAAAAGCGCTCGAGGAGTTTCTGGATCGTTCGACTACGACCAGGCATGCCTTCCATTCGGGGCTTGACTGGTATCGATCCACGCGAGCTATCAACAACCCCAATCGTGCGTGGGATGTCAACGATGCTCGGCGACCAGAAGAGCAGCAATCTCAGATCGACGCTGAGATTCCTCGGCGGCTAGCGATCGCTTGCTGTGTGCAAGCGAAGATTCGTTCCATACCTGATGAAGGTACTATTTACCTAGAGGAGCTGCCTGGTTGGACGGAGGACGAGCTTCGCAACTTCTCTCTCAACATGATGCAGTTTGCTCTTTTCTTCTGCGTCAGCTTTTCGCAGTTGGAACAACGGCTGGATGATTATGAAGTAACATGGTGGTGTCAACAAATGAAGGCTGTCGAGCCTGCACTATGCCACTGTAAGCTCTTCTACCTTCTCCTATCGTCACCACAGTCATCTCCGTCTGGCCTTCATGGCCGTCGTCCCTCTATTGTCCCCCGTCCCTCTTTTGTCCCCCGTCCCTCTATTATCCCCCGTCCCTCTTTGTCCCCGTCCCTCTATTATCCCCCGTCCGACTATCATCTCACCGTCACGTCTTTTGTCCGCGTCAGTCTGCCTCCGTATATTTTATATCACGAAATGAGCT